CACGTGCGGGCACACACACGCGCGCGTGTGTGTGTGTGTACGTGTGTGTGTGTACGTGCGTGTGTGTACGTGCGTGTGTGTGTGTGTGTACGTGTGTGTGTGTACGTGTGTGTACGTGTGTGTGTGTGTACGTGTGTGTGTGTACGTGCGTGTGTGTGTACGTGTGTGTGTGTACGTGTGTGTGTGTACGTGTATGTGTACGTGCGTGTGTGTGTGTGTGTACGTGTGTGTGTGTACGTGTGTGTGTGTGTGTACGTGTGTGTGTGTACGTGTGTGTGTGTGTACGTGTGTGTGTACGTGTGTGTGTGTACGTGTGTGTGTGTGTACGTGTGTGTGTGTACGTGTGTGTGTGTGTACGTGTGTGTGTGTGTACGTGTGTGTGTACGTGTGTGTGTGTACGTGTGTGTGTGTACGTGTGTGTGTGTGTACGTGTGTGTGTGTACGTGTGTGTGTGTGTACGTGTGTGTGTGTACGTGTGTGTGTACGTGTGTGTGTGTGTACGTGTGTGTGTGTGTACGTGTGTGTGTACGTGTGTGTGTACGTGCGAGTGGTGGCGCAGCGGTTAGAGCGCTGTGCTGCGTGCTCGGCGACCCAAGTTCGATTTCCCGTTCCCACGGCCAATTCCGGCGGACCGCTCCTCGGTCGATCCTGGGCCTCCCTGGGGGCCATCCATTGAGTACGTACGCATGGAGGGGGCAGGGGGGGGGGTTCACCCAAATGCGTAGCCTGCGTATGGGGGGGGCTACTGACAATGTACGTATAGGAAACGGGGGGGGGGGGGGTGAAGCCTCGGTAATAATTTGTCTACATTGGCCTTCAAATGAGTTAGTCCGGCGGTGGACTATCTGTTTGCTTAAACACGTTAATGTTATTAATCCTTGATCGTTTCTGCGTGGATTAAATATCGGCCGTTCTATAGGATTCGGGGGGGGGGTGCGTCAAGCGAACGTACCCAGGTGGGGGGGGGGGGGTAAGAAGTCCGCGTGTGTACAGGGAGGGGGGGAGGGGTCAAGTTTTGACAGATTTGTGCGTACCTACTCAATGTATGGCCCCCTAAGGTCGACTCAGTCTCAAATGAGTAGCTGGTGCGGTGTGTAAAAAAACATCGCCACGAGGGAAGAAGAGGCGGCCGGGCGTGGTGCTGGCTACACAAGCCCTCGTGTGCCGTGGCAGCCTTCATAGGTGCTTTCTTAACAGCACTTGCCCCAAAAATTGGTTAAGACTATATGGAGGACCTTTGTCGGTGTATATATTAACTCATTTGTGCGTGGATTTTTTTTCAGTTATATTAGTTATATTTTACAAGGATGGCGTTTCATTCTCTTAAACCTTACAAGGGGTCCTCCTGAGCCAATGAAAGCGATGGAAACTCATGGGGAGCGTTTAAGGGTTTTGTTTTTGCTCACGCACGCCAGTGTGGCTCAGAAATTCCCCCAGAGTTCTGGCGTTCCGTGTTCAACGCCCACCACATGTTGTTGTTGATGCTGTTGATGTGCAACATAAAGAACCATTGTGGATATAACCGGCCTTGTTCTGCAACTGGCAAATGACGGCGGATATACGCTCAGGAGCTAAATACTCAATATCCAGGTCTGCTGGCCACGACGAGAGTGCTTCAGTACGTACCTATGATGAACTTCTTTCGCACCGTACGTAGCCAACCACGCTGATCAAAGTTGCGGGGAGAGGAGAACAAACAAAACACAAAAAGCAGTGCTAAGAAAATGAGTTTGTCAATCTGCATGATTTAAACGTGCAAAGCTCCAGTGGTTTCCTGATATCGGAAGGAAGAGCGTTCCAGACGGCTTCAGAAGTGCATCTGAAAGCGCGCGATGCAGTGGCCGTATTTGTTCGATGGCCAGCCGAAATCCGCTGCTGCGAGGATGACTGGAGTTCGCACGACGAGATCAGCGAAGTATTGTGGCTCATTTGTGGCAAGAACTTCGCGTGCAATGAGTGCGACCTCACAATGCATTCGTCCGGCATCCAGAAGCGAATGCAGCTCGGTGTTGAGAGTTCGCGTCGCTTTGCTGTTCCTCCTCCGTTGAAGGAGATGCGGTGAAGTCACGGCGTCGTGGTCTCTGCGTCCATGACGCCGCCCTCCGGTGACTTGGTGAAGCTTAGCGATGGTTGTGCGGTCTTCGTGGCAGGAGAACACACCTAGAGGCTTCGTGGTGGAGTGAGTGGCTCTAGCAGTCGGAAGGCTGAGTTGTGTGGACTCAGCCCATCATCCTTCCTTTCGCGGATAGACTCGCCCCCCCCCCCCCCCATAGTAATCATTACTATGGTTGAAATCCACTTTACTAACTAATTACGAACTAATGTGGATTTATACCATTGGCTCTGCAGGGCTGTAAACTGGAGATTGGTATTTCCAATTCACAGCAAATGTTTTGCATCGTTTCCATGCTCACGGTTAAAAAAAGATCGACGGTCGGCGATCCCCTCGGCTCATCGTTGTTTCAGCCTCGATGCAATGACTACTGCTTTGTGGGGGAATCAACAGCGGTGGTGTGAGAGGCCGCCACACACCGAACAGTGAATGTGGAATCCGACCAGCGCAGGGCCACCGACCTTCACGGTAGCGCTGGTGCACACTTTGTTTGAGCATGGAGACACGTTGGCTTTGCGACTTGCGTGTAAGATGGACTGTGTGTGTGTGTGTATATCCATGCATGTGTGTTAACCAATATTTACATGTTAAAAACGCATTTTATATTTTTTAATTTGTGCTACTGATGAGCCCTCACAAGATGAAGATATTTCAACTTGGACCTCTTTACTTCGTGCGTGTGCCAGAATAACTCCAAAAATATAATATAAAACTATTTGTCTGAAATCACTGCGAAGGACGCATTTACCCAAAGATTCACACAGCAGTGGCACCAAGTGTGTCGGAGATTCACCGGTGGCGAGAGATTTGTGTTTTGTTTGTTACAGAACTTCTGAACGGGTTCCTCGAGCGGACAAATTTTTGCTTTCTCGTTTAACAAAGCAGGAGGTGTGCTTTGTCGCACGCGACGGTAAAACTTGATCAAATATTCGTAACTCTCAGAGGACTGAAGTTTAGCCGGAAAAAAAGAAATCGATTGTGAAATCCAAATTTAATGTTATTTTTGTGTGTGCAGTCATCGGTGACTGGGCTGAGACCATCCACTCGCTGCATTTGACAACCCGGTTTAATCGCGGGAAGCTGCCCGGGTTGAGACCAGGAGCTCAGCGGTGCCAACTCGGCGCTCTGACCTCTGAGCTGCCCGGCCACCCCCTAGGTGACCGCGTTCGTCTCGATCGCCCTCGCGAACAACTCGGCGCCGCGTGCACGTGCACACTCCGTGCGGCGTGCACGTGCACAGTCTGTGCGCTGTGCACGTGCACACTCCGTGCGGCGTGCACAGTCTGTGCGCTGTGCACGTGCACACTCCGTGCGGCGTGCACGTGCACAGTCTGTGTGCTGTGCACGTGCACACTCCGTGCGCTGTGCACGTGCACACTCCATGCACGTGCACACTCTGTGCGCTGTGCACGCGCACACTCCGTGCGGCGTGCGGTCAGGCACAGACGCGGCGCGCACATCGATCGCGCAGACTGTGGCGCAACGCGCCTCGCGCGTGTTGTCCAAGTGTGTGTGACGTGCACAACTTGAAACCGTGGGGATTTTACAGCACGATGGGGGGTGTCGTCACGTGTTGCGTCTTGTCGCGGGCCACACTCAGAGCCACCAGGGCCCGCCAGTGGCCCGTAGGCCTTGCAGTGAAGAACACCGCTCTCAGGCCTCCCGCACGGGCCACCTCGTGGCTACCCGGCCACCTACCCCGCTCTGCTCTTCAACGCGCAGTTTAATCGCGGGCACTCGGATACCCAGATGTGAACTCAGGGCATCATCGGTGCCGCGGCAGAGTTCCGTGAAAACCTCTCCCAGCTGGGAGCCGACTGTTGGGAGAGGCCTCGCCGGCTCTGAGCGGCGTCCTGAACACTGACGATATATTTAAACAATGGATGCGGTCATGGCAGTGAGCACGCCGTGGCCTCACGCTGTGCCGGTAGCTTCGTGAGCACGTGGGCACTCTCCGGGTCCGTGTCTTGGGGTTTGTTTGTTTGAAAGTTCGCATTGCCATCCAGTTTACCATCGAGTTCTGGCTAACTGCGGAGTCCGGCTTCGAGAAGCATCACTCACAAGGTGCTGTCCTCGCCCGCCTGCCCTCTACCCACTCTCCCGCCCCCCCCCCCCCCCCAATTCATGTCATGCGCCTCCGTGAATACAATAATTTATTCAAGGACAAGTGATTCCATTGCAACAACAATCGCCGTTTGCCACTAAGTGGCGGTGACGTCACCACGTCGCTTGTGCCAGGCTATGTGCACTTTAAGGCCACGCGAAGTGTTGTACACCCACTGGCAGGGGTCACGGGATAGACCCAGGTGCCATGGGTTGACTGACTGAGATGACCGGCAGATGCACCGCCTGTGCCCCTGACTCTTCCAACTTGTTGTGTTTTATCCGCCCGTCGCACCGCTCGTTGTTGTGAGCGTCGCTCCCCTGCCGTCCGTTATTGCTGGTGGTTGACGGTCTCCAACTGCCCAGTAGCGTCTTTCCCAAACGCACACAATGGCACACGCGCACACACACGGGCGTATCGAAATTACACCGTTATTGCCTCTGGGCTGAAAGGCCAAAGCGCTTCTGGTATTTTTTCCCGTGCGTTTTAAAATCTGCTTTCATGTGCAGGCAAATGCTGTTGCATCGCCAAAAAAACACAACCACGCCACCAAAGTTCTGAGCCACCACCAACCGCCACCGCTCGCTTCCAAGAATCCGGCCGTAGCCCCCCCCCCCCCCACAGGAGTGGCGCCCGGGGGCGCTCGCCCCACCCTCGCCATGCCACCGGTTCCACCGCTCTCACCCCTCCGTGCGCTCTCATCCAAGATGTGGCTCGCCACTAAAGAACCGCTCCGCCGCCCCCCTCCCTCTCTCTCTCTCTGCCGCCCCCTCCCCCACGCAGGGCACAGGCAGCGCCTGGAGGACGCTGGCAAGGCGCTCTCCTTCTCCGAGAGGCTGAGTGAGTTGGAGCACCTGCGGCGCACCGCGCTGCGCGTGGGGGCGCACCACGTGCCGCCCCCAACGCCGACCCTCCGCCCGCCTCTTAACCCTCCCCCCCACTACAATGCACAGACAGGTACACGACGGGCCCCCAACCCCACCCACCCACCCCCCCCCCCCCCACCCCCCCTTTACCTACCTATCAAAATCAGAATATTTATCCGTACCGGAGGAATCCGATGAGCTTTAAAGCTCTTTCTCACAGATGTCCGGTAGGGGCACGGGGTGGCAACGTCAACAAAGCGACACAAGAACGCGAGAGGAGTGAAAAGTACAAGCAGGGCAAACGAATCGCCCAAACGCAGACAAACTCATCTCAGCCGTCCCCACCCTACCAGGCAGAGCCCCGCCGACGTACTGCTGCACACCCACACGACCTCACTCGCACCCGGCCTCCCTCTTGCACGCTCCTCCCTCGCTCAGCGATCCCTCAACACAGACCCCGGGGTAGGCACGCGGCTCGGCAAGGTCACGAACGGGGGGGGGGGGGGAGGTCGGGGCTTGAATTCAGGAGAGCGACTGAGAGGTCGCGCACCGAGAGAGCGGAGAGACGCACGCTCGCTTGCGGTGACGTCGAGAGACGGGCGGTGACGCGGACCGGAGAGCGCGCGGGTCGATGACGATACTCGTCCTGTTGGGGTTGGGAAGGATCCGTCGCTGGAAGGGATCGTGGCCGATAGTCAAGAACAATAGCGGAGGGACGGCTGATGAACGGAATCCCTCGGAGATGAGGGGGGGGGGGCATCTGACCGGGGAGATGGAGTGATGACACTGGTTCGTGGACAGGTGCCAGGCGGATTATTAATTTTGCAGGATTACGAGAGCTTGACGAACGGCTATACATTAAATATTTTTATTTTTTTATTTTAGTGAGGGTGGACGTCACTGCTCCAAGATATAACCAATTTCACGTGCGAGGGAATGTGAACATCCAACACTCCCCGACGAACAGGTCATGAACCCACTTGCTGTACTGCCACCTGCACAAATCACAGGTGGGGGGGGGGGAGGGAGGAAGATGATCCCCAACACATGAGAACCTGAACATCACCAGAGAAAATGCAGAGACTATATATCGTTATATATATTGTTAAATAGGCTCCTCAATTGAAAGTGGTGTGCTCCGGGAAGAGCCCTCCCGAGGGACGTTGCCTCTTGGCAGCCGCGTGGCATCGCTAGAGGAGTGCAGATCGCCGGGACCCCAGTCCCAGTTGGCAGCATGGCGGCTGACTTTCCACACGAGTACGGATTTTATCGACCCTGAAAGGATGATGGGTCAAGCTGAGCACCGACACCGACTGGAACCTGGCGGCGGCGAGCGAACGAGGTCACGTCTGGCAGTCCGCCCGGCGCGGAGTGCCATTGGTGCACGTTCACGCGGCCAGTGCAGGCCGAATGTTCAAGTGCCGTGAGCGAGCAGCTAGGAAGGCCGACACGGCGCACCCGGCATCGTGCGGCCGACACCGCTAATAAGGCCGACACGACGCACCCGGCATCGTGCGGCCGACACCGCTAAGAAGGCCGACACGACGCACCCGGCATCGTGTGGCCGACACCGCACCCGGACCACTTTGGCTGAACCAACCGAGGGGAGGCTCACAACCGGTGCAGATAAATGCCGTGAGTGGGAATTGGACCCGGGTCACCCCAAATTATTTGGTGCGTCAGAGAACGCTCATCGCTACACTAGCGCTCGACTTATGTGAGACGCACAAAGACAAAGATTCCCCGTATAGCCATAACAGACTGTTGGGGAAAGTGCTGTGAGCGAGCGCCTATGAAGGCCAGGGATGGGTGGCCAGCACCACGCCCAACCACCTTTTTTATTCCCAGAGGCGATATTTTACATACACTCGCGTACACACTCACGCACACACTCACGCTTACACACTCACGCACATACTCACGCACACACTCAAGCACACACTCACGCACTCACTCACGCACATACTCACGCACACACTCACACACTCACTCACGCACGCACTCACGCACACACTCACGCTTACACACTCACGCACATACTCACGCACACACTCACGCACACACTCACGCACACACTCACGCACGCACACACTCACGCACACACTCACGCACACACTCACTCACGCACACACTCACGCACATACTCACGCTTACACACTTACGTACACACTCACGCACACACTCACGCGCACACTCACTCACGCACACACTCACGCACACACTCACGCTTACACACTCACGTACACACTCACGCACACACTCACTCACGCTTACACACTCACGCACACACTCACGCACACACTCACGCTTACACACTCACGCTTACACGTGCGCGCATGCACACACGCACGAGCACGCTCGCACACACACGCCGTGCCCCGTGTTCCCTGCATGCAGAGGCACACAAACGCCCAGGATGTGGTGAGCCGCATAACCCTTTAATGTCATAACCGCACAACCCCTGCCGCTTGCGTACGCGCGGTGCGCCACGCGCCCAATCGCGTCCTCGTGTCTGAATCGCCGTCCCCGAAGCTCTCCGCGCAAGCCTGACCGACCCTTAACGCCGAAGGCGTTCATCGAGGTATCGCCCTCGGTAAAACATTTTCGCTCTTGCTCCCCTTTGTGTTTCTGACGCTGTCTTAAAAAAAAAAAGAGAAACCGCTCGAAGCTTTGAAACGTTCACTTCCAGTGGGAGCTCAACCAAGAGGGCAACCAGCTGACGATTTACAAGGCTGAAGGAACGGGCACTTTTAAGTGAGCATGGACGGACAGACCTGCGCTTCGATTTACCGGTCACGGATAACATCGGTGGCGAGTGATATCTGAACCGGTCCTGGGCGTCCCACGCACCCCCCCCCCCCCCCCACCTTCTGCAACCCGCGCTACTGACCTGCTCAAATAATCTCCATAATCGACATGGCGTGGATAGGCCATTCATCCAGCAAGGGCTTCACAAAGGGCTGAACATTATGATTGTTGTTGCCATTAATATGAGGATGCATGTCAATCCACTGCTGGATGACAGCCACTTCACGACGCCATCTTTGCTTACTGCTTGAACTTTTCCCAGCGGTTAAAAAAATCACGCACACAACGCTCTCTGTCTTCGAGTCGAAGCAACCGGTTCAAAAATCCCACACAATCTACAGCATTCAACTGTGGCGGGGGGCGCGTATTGAGATCACCGCTCGCGCGTAAGTTTTGAGCTTTCATTATTTAATGGAATAACAACCTGGGTGGGTTTTTATGAAAAAAAAATTCTTTATGGAGTTAGGGGTAGGTCGTATCGTCAGTCACATTTTTTTTCTTCTTCTCTGGAGAAATGCAGACAGCCCTGTCGTGGTACCATAATCGAGAATGACTTAAATCCCATAATATGTGGTTGTTGTCGGGACAACTCAGACAGCACCAGACTTCACGCCCGTCGTCGGTATCGGCCTCGCCACAGCGCCTGCCAAAAAAACGTCTGCGCCATCAACGAACACAATCTCTGGGAACCCGGGGCCTCGGCGTGCCAGCCAGACCCCTCGGAGGAAACGATGAGCACGGTTCGCGCTCGTATTTCAAATGCCCTTTTTTGTTTTGTTTAAAGAAACTCATTTCTTTAAGCAAAACAAATATGTGGTCTCGAAATGAGATGTGCAAAAAGAACGCACGGGAAAAAAAAAAGTCTCCGACGAGCAGCGCTCATTATCCGTTTTTTTTGTGGCACCACGCCAGCGATGGAAATTCCACATTACTACATCGGAGGGGAGTGTCACCCATAGGATAACCACTTTTCACTTGCCGCAAACAGGATTTTGCTTTCTCCCCCCCCCCGCCCGCCCCGCCCGCCCCGCCCGCCGGCATGAATAATGCGGTGATGGAATGATGATTCGACTCCTGGCCGGGATTTGACTTTCGTGACCTTACAATTCCCGAGCACGTTTAAGAGGAGGGAGTCGCTGTCGCCGGCGCGCGAGTTGTCGCGGACAATCGCGGTTACGCCAGTCGTGCCGGCTGCGTGTTGCCGGACCGTGGCGAGGGGGCGCAACCCGAGAACGCATCGGGAGAGGGGCCGCTGCAGCGGCACTCCGGCACGACGTTCCGCTGCACCAACCGACTCGAGCTCGGTCGACGGCGCTCCCCGTGGGGTCCGCAGCGAGCGCCGCGGTCGCCGCTCTTTGACTTTGCGCCGACGATCCACGAGCTACGGCGACGGAAATGGCCCGAATCTTCGTCCGCCCGCCGAGTTTTTCTCACAGCTTTATCTAACAAGTGTTGGAAGCCGGCCAGACCTTTTTTTTTTTGTGACAGCCGAGCATCAGACTCGCCCTTTTAGGCTTTAGTGTGCGGTCCGACAGCTGTTTGACTAATGCACCCCCGGCTCCGTCTCTTGTGTGCCGTACCGGCGATGCGCGGAGCGTAACTGCAGCCGGCTCTCAAACAAACATCTTCAGCTGGCCCGCGATAAAATGGCCAGCTGAGCCGGTTATTTCTTTACGAGCTGCGTAAAGTGGGGGTAACAACCGCTCGTTGTTTTACTTCACGTCTTCTCCCCACACCGGTCGCTCGAAATCCTTTTGGGATATTTATTTTTCATCGACATTAACTCAGGCGCCTCTCTGCGCGTCAAGTGTCCGCACGTTACATCCGCCGTTGGAGTGCAGAGGAACTGCACTCTCCTACAAGTGCAGAGGAACTGCACTTGTAGGAGAGTTCCTCTGCACTTGTAGGAGAGTTCCTCTGCACTTGTAGGAGAGAGAGTTCCTCTGCACTTGTAGGAGAGTTCCTCTGCACTTGTAGGAGAGTTCCTCTGCACTTGTAGGAGAGTTCCTCTGCACTTGTAGGAGAGAGAGTTTCTCTGCACTTGTAGGAGAAAGAGTTTCTCTGCACTTGTAGGAGAGAGAGTTCCTCTGCACTTGTAGGAGAGTTCCTCTGCACTTGTAGGAGAGTGGAGTTCCTCTGCACTTGTAGGAGAGAGAGATCCTCTGC